TCGCTACCAATTGCTCAATAATTTCGAAAAAAAAAAACGTCAATCGATTGTGTTTGTTTCACCCTAATTAAAACACACTAAGTTTCAGTTTGTGATTTGATGTATTTTGAATGAAGAAGAAAGGTTTTGGGATTTTGGTTAGTCAATGTCGAGGAATAGTGCAGTGTGGTTGGCATTAATGAAAAAGGGGAGGGGATGAATTAAATCAGGGGCAGGTTAGTCATTTTGTCTACTTTAGTTAAAAAAGTAGCCATTTAGGAGATGTTTAGCACCTTTAATGAAAATTAGGCCACTAATTGTAAATTAAAAAAAATATATGACACTTTAGAGATTCGAAAAAAACATCGTCTCCCACGTGGAAAACTTAAAAGTAGGAGACCACCATCATGTAGAATTTCCCTAAAAATTAAATTAAATAAATGTAGATTTTAATTGGTCCAAACCCTCAGTTATTTGTACCTTTCACGCTTTGGTTTAAGGACAGAACCTCGGGTTAAGTATGGACTCCTTGGAGTGCTTAAGGGAAGAATGGTGTAATAGATTTAAGGCTAAGAATGAGAGAGAGAGAGAGAGAGAGAGAGAGAGGAGAATGATTTTTGGTGTAAAAGAGAGGAAGAGAGAATGATTTGATGATCAAGCTTGTTGATGATTAAAAAAGGGGTGATGTGACCTCTATTTATAATGAAAAAAGAAGGGTCGAAGAATTAAGAAAGATAAGGATTTAATCAGAATAAAACTCGATAGACAACAATTTTTGTGGTTTTTGTTTTTATCATATCTTTTGATCCAGAAATCCGAATAAGATAAATAATATGTTGTTGGAAAGATGTTGAAATCTACTTTCTAAACCAATTGGAATTAAATTAAAATCCTTTGTAGAATAAAAGTATGGCCGAAATAGTGAGACGGTGTCAGTTTTGGATAAAATTTCGTATTTCATTCATATCTTTTCCGTTATAGCTCGGAATTAATATTATAATATATCATTGGAAAGATAATTTCAAGGGCTATCCAAAAATATAAGATTTGGATAAAAACTATGAGGCGTGAAAATCATATCTGACTATCTTTGAACTTTTTTCAATTCGGATAGAATTAGGACTTTCAAAAAGAAAATTTTTATTCAATTTTAAACTCTTTAATCTTATTTTTTCAAAAAGGATAATTAAGATATTTTAGAAACTTATAAAAGCTTCCAATTAATCCTAATTGGTTTAGGGATGGGATTAAACTTTTTGGACCCTCCACAAGATCATTGGGTCGTAGGTAAGGTGGGCATAGGTTCGGTTTGGGTTCAGTTTAATATTTTGACCATAACTTATTCGTTATAACTCGGATTTGGGTTTATAAAATATCGTTGGAAATCTCTTTTCAAGCCTCATCCAAATATTCAATAATTGGACCCATATTTAGACTAAAATAAATTAGACTAAACATTTTTATAAAAAGGACACGAAATAAATGATTATTGTGGGTTTAAAGGCACGAAAAGAGGAAAATAAGTTATGGTTTGGGGAAATGGGCTAGGAATTGGGTTATTTGTGAAATGTATTGGGATTGAATATGGATTTAAGTACTCCAAAGATTAAATACTCAACCCGACAAATAATGGCGGTGAAAGATTGTTCATCATCGGGTTTGGTTTTGGGGAGACATTTTTAGGTGTCTATAGCCACATATGTGGGGTTCGAGAGTTAGAGTTAAGGTTTGGGTGGGTGTTCGCTGGACTGGTTGGGACACTAGGGTGTAAATTTAAAATGTATCCAATTAAAGGAATCGATGGGGCTACTACCCTAATAAAGTTCTTCCTAGCGTATAGTATTGGACAGATTGAGTCTTTCTCTAATTAGTATTACTGCCGTCTGCCGCCTCCGACAATTTAATGGCCCTGTTCTAACTATTAAAGGGTCCTTCAATTTTTAGAGGATTATTTTAAAAGGTTAAAAATATTATTATTATTATAAAATGGCATTTTTTTAAAGTACAGTACTACAAATTATTATAGAGCTAAAATATTCATATTACTACGTTAAATAGTAATTTCGTTAAAAAAAAGTTTAATAGTTATTGAATAAAACAACAAAAAAACCTTTTTATTTAATAAGTATCATCCTTTTAATATTTTTTAAAGCAAAATCCTCAATTATATTTTCATAATCAATTTAATTTTTTTTAAAAAATTAAAAAGTAAAAGTCAAATATTTAAGATGAATATTTAGGTTTTAGTTTGGAAATGGTGGTCTTTTAGGGGGAAAAAGGTGAATATGTAAGGTTATGATGTATTATTATTATTTTTTTTTAATTATGGGTCCCTGATTTTTGGGGGCCCTGTTTCGTGTGTGAGAAAAAACATGTCTAAAGACGGGTCTGAGTATTAGAGCAACTCCAATAGTAAGCTAATTAGCAAATTAGCTTTTTTAGGCTACATAAGATTTTAAAGCTGATTTCTTTTGTAGCTAGTTTGTGCCCTGACTACTAGCTTGTGGTGTTTGCTAGAAAGAAGAAGAATTTGTCATGCATTCGTCAAGATTGCAGTTTAGCCCAAACAATTTGGAGTAAGTCCAGTTATTCTGTGGTTTTGTCTCACTCTCTTTGTAATATGAGTGACTGGTGGGACCATTGTTTTTGTAATTTTTGGTGGGGACTGGTGAGTTCAGTTACCATGTGTTGGGCTATGTGGGGTGCAAGGAACAAATGAATGATTAAGGGTGAAAATCCGAATGTTGAACAAATTGTTTCCTATGCTTTGAAGATTAATACGAAGCAGCGTGAGGTGGGAAAGTTGAATAACAAGGGGAATTGATGGGTGGAAAGAGTGTCTTTGTGGGCGGGTCTCCTTCGGCATCTGATGTACTTAAAATTATTATTGATGCTGGTGTTTTGGGGAGATGGGGCTGGGTGTAGTTTGCAGGTATAGTGAGGGGGTGGTGCTTTGGGGAGTTACTGTGTAGTGGAGCGAAAAATGAGAGACTAAGTTTGCAGAGGTGAAAGCGGTATTTTAGGGCATGAAGATTGTGAGACACAAGGGTGTGAGTTGCATTGAGATCGAGAGTGATAATCTGGTGGTGATTGAGGCAATGAGAAAGCGTTTGTATGACCCTAGTTCCTAGCTATCATCTGATAATATAGGATATTCTAGAATTTTTTTTTTCTTCTAATTTTACTAGTGTTTCATGGTCTGTTGTAAAGTGGGGGGGGGGGGGTGGGGAGTAATAATGTAGTACACAAATTGACTCTCTTTCAACCATGAGAGTTTGACCAATGGGTGTGGAGTGATGTAAACTCTTCTCGCATTTTGGAAATTTAGTTGATCTAGATGTGTTTTTTTTTTTTTTTTTTTTTTTTTTTTTTTTTTTTTTAAAAAAAGTATTAAAGTTGTCACTTCCAAAGTTATTGACTAACAATTTCCATTTTACACAGAACACTAACCAACTCATACAATTACTAAGTGAATTCTACACTTGCTAGTCTGCAACTGCATTTATAATAAATGTAGGTGACCGTCAACTGATGTTAAAACCGCAAAGGTAACACTACCTATACAATTGCATAGTTCACACTTTACACGACACTATTAGTTTGCCATAATGGCCATCACAAAACAGTCATCCTAACCACATTTCTTAGAGGAAAAGTCATCCTAAACACATGATAAATTGTGATTGACTTATGTTACCATACTTTCCTTTCGTTTGCTGTAAAATCAGTTTAATTAATGTAATTTTAGTCGTTTTCAAATTTTTTTTTTAAAAAAAAAACAAAAAACTTGCAAACAATTTATGCAAGTTTTTTTTTTTTTTTTTAATTTTTTAATTTTTTATTTATTTTTATTTTTTTTAAAAGACAAATTATACAAGCTTTGGTGTGTGATGATAATCCCTACCTTATAAAAAGTACAAGATTATTCTTATGAATAATGCTATGCTTGTTATACCCTTCAAAATGTGTATTTACATACATACCCTCATTAATATGTACAAGTTTTTTTAATGAATAGTGTCTAGACAATTATACCATTTAAAGTGTTTATTTATTTATTTACCCTCATTATGATTATTACCTCTTCATTTTTAACTCTTAAGATTAATGTGTGGACATTGATACCCCTAAATACATTTATTTATATATTTTATTTCATTATGTTGCCAATCATTAAATTTGTGATGTAACTCCATATAAGGTTAAACCGAAAGAGATTCCGGATATGACTAGCTATGGCACGCACAACGTGCGCGTTAGCTACCCTAATATTAGGGAAAAGGAAGTGTAAATTTAAACTAATACTCCATATTCCGTACTTTTTAAAATAGGTTTACTCTAAACCCTTAAAAAGGTCTGCGCTATCCCATAATTGGACGATCATATAAAGACTCAACCCATTTATTTAGTGGAGGTCTTAATCCGTGCCCGTGGACAAAGTAGAGGAATCACATATGAGATTCTTTGTCTTCCTTGTTCTTGCTCGATCATACGTGGAATCACGCTACAAAGGTATTAATTCTTATTCTTTATGTGTTATGCATGATCTTGAGATTAGGTGCTTTATGAATATGATTCATGTTTTCCGCAATTAGTACCTATAAACTCTTACAAAACACCATGAATTCTCATTCCCCTCATTTATGTTGTCAATCAAATAAGGCCTTGATATACTAAATGAACAAGCAAGCTTTTAAGGGAAAACCTAAATTGACAATACTCCTTACTAACATTTTTGGGTAAATACAAGTTAATCTCTAATATTCACAAAATTTGTTTATCACATGACAATTTTGTAAATAAATCAACAACTTTTTCCATAAAAGTGGGTCCTACGGTGATGATGACTGGATAAAGTTGTTGATTTATTTACCAAAATACCATGTCACAAACAAATTTTGTTTATCGCAGAGAACAAGAATACATATATTGAATTGGGTTTTGATTAGAATTGAATTAATGGGACAATAGCACAAACAAGGCCTTGATATACTAAATGCAATATCAGTTAGTTACAAACTCAAGTACTTATTGAGTTGGGTTTTAATTAGAATAGAATTATATTGATGGCACAAAATCAATGTAAATGCATTAAATTACAATAATTTGGTCCATAGGTCATAAGGGATCCATAGAATTGCTCTCTCTCAGATTAGTGAGATATCCATTGAAGCGCACTCAAGTAAACGTTCTCCATTGCAGCGCAGTTGGCGTTCTCCGTTGAATCTAGTTCTTGTATCCCCCATTGAAGCAACTTCTGAGGTAAGTTGTTTGTATTTGTTATCATCATATCAAATATCTCTGAAATTATGAGATCGATAATTGAATCAAATATCCCTATAACTATGAATCAAATTTGGTTGCTAATGTATTGCACAACACTTTAATGTTAGGATTTAACTATGAAATCAGAGCTCTTTTCCCTGGGCCCAGGGCTGCCGCCCCTCCTGCCCTGCCTCAGGGACGGGCCTGATTTTGAGAAACAATCATGTTAATTATGAAAATTGGCGACACTAACAACCAAGCTAGAGAATTTTGTTGTATAGTTTGATAAAGATGTTCCTTAATTTGCTTTTGCTAGAAATATAATGATATAATTGTTGATCTTTGGAAAAAAAACTGATCATATTGTTTTATAATGACAAACTAGTTTTTGGGCTTGGGCGATGCCCCGGGTTATTACATGAACCTAACTTATTATTAATATACATTATAATTTATGATTTAATTTTCTTGTAATTAAATTTGTTATTAATAATGTCATTTGCTACATATTAATATTTTGTATTCAAAAAATTACGTAAAGAATCACATAGTTTGGTGGTAAGATATTTAGTTCTTCAATTAGAAGTTGCGAGTTCAAATCTTGTGGAGAACTTTTTTCCTTCGAAAAAGCCTTTTGGTTAAAAAAAACCACCACATTTATTTTTTTGCGAGAGGAAACTTATTTATTTAATTAAGCTCTATTGCCTTCTATTTCTTCTCATTAAGCTCTAATCCACTAACTCACTAAATAATTATATTTAATTTATATATAAAACAAACCACCATCCCCAACCACCTCCTCCCCTTTCTCCTCCCTTTCCTCTTCCCTTGGTAGCAACCCCCTCCCCCTAACTGGACCCGCCACCCAAATCCCCCACCTCTGGCAACCTATCTCCACCGCCGTCCAACCCTGTTTTTCCCCTTTATCCTTGCCGGCGACCACCACCTTTTTATATTGAAAAATAAACCCTAGAAAATCAATTTGGGGGTTTTTAATTTTATGCTTCTTGCTTGCAATTGATACTTGTTTTGGCTTTGTTTATGTATATATGTGATGCTAGGGTGATTTTAAAGCAAATTGCTTTTGATTTGGACTTGATTTGAGCATGTTTGAGTAAACTAGAGCCAAAAATTTGAAGGGAGGTGGTGGTCGCAGACGGGGATAAGGGAGGGAGGGTCGGCCGACGGCGGAGCTAGGTCGCCGGAGGTGGGGTGGATCCAGCGGGTTCAGTGGGGGTGGGGGTTGCTGCCAAGGGAGGGGGAAGGGTGGTTGGGGTGGTGGTTTATTTATATATATAAATTAAATCTAATTATTAAGTTGTTTGATGGATTAGAAGTTAGTTAGAAGAAATAGGAGGAAATTAGAGATTAAATAAGTAAATTAGAAGTTAATTAAGTTAACCGGTTTCCTCTCGCAAAAATAATGGACGTGGTGGTTTTTTTTTAAATAAAAAAAGCTTTTAAAAGGTTTTTTTTCGCAAAATGGTGCTTTTAAAAGGTTTTTTTTTCGCAAAATGGTGCTTTTAAAAGGTTTTTTCTGACAAATTTGCCTTTTATAAATGATTGAATTTTACAGAAAAATTAAGATGCGGAAGAGAAACAAAAGGTCCTCACAAGAATGGAAAGCTGATGGGAGTAATGAAGTTGGTAGTTCCTCTAATGCACAAGAGCCTTCTTGGGATGAGGCAATGCCACGATTGCGTAGTGCAAATAGGTCATCGTATGTTATGCTGACACTCTTTGCATTACTCGTTTATATCTCATGGAGTGTTTATCATTATCAGTACGAGGTGTTGCCGGTACCTTTGAGTGCTGATAAGGCTGGCAAACGGGGATTTTCGGAGATAGAAGCTATGAAACATGTCAAGGAATTGACTCAGTTGGGTCCTCATTCTGTTGGTTCTGATGCTCTTGACCCCGCTTTGAAGGTTTTATTTCTTGAGTATTATGTATCTCAGTCTCATAGTTCAAAACTTCTTTTGTCTTTAAATTATGTGCCACATTTAGCTAGTGTGGCAAATCGATTATTATTATTATTGCAATTTGGCAGTGGGGTTGATGCCTTGATGGTGGTACTTGTTATCTACAATGTGATTGTTATATCCTGTTTCTGTTTTTATTAATCAGTTTCTATAGTTGTTCTACTAGGATGGCTGAACATCAACAAAGATTAAGCAGATTATGAATAAAATAAGTTTAAAATAAATTGACTAAAGTAAAATTAGCAGCGTACCACCGTATTATCCTTACTATTGGATCCTTTGCACATCTCATTAGCTAAGTGATTACTGGGGTAAGTTGATAATGTGTATTTCCAAGGCAAATGTGACTAATTCTTCAACAAGGAGAGAGGGGGGGGGGGTTAACTAAACGACTAATGTTCTTTCATGTTGCTGAATGTTCTTATACCCTGGACGAACTTGTATTCTTTTGTGCTTGAAAATTTGTATGTGAATGATCATCAATAAGGAGGGAACTTCAAAAGAGTTTGTTTCGTGTCGGCTTTCATAGTACCATGCACTTGTTTCATTTGTGTAGCTGTATTTTATGGTGAAGTAAATAGGTCTTTGGAAGTGGAAGTGATTATTTTGTGAATTTCTCTCTAAAAATCTGTGAAGGGCTGTTGTTCTCAGTTTCTTTTTGTTGTAGATATATTTTGACTTTTTACTAGGAGTAGTTACTATTTGTCCTACCCATGATACCCCTAGGAATTCTTTTTTCCCTTGATTTAGCTGTTGATCCCTGCCTAAAAGTTGGTAGGTTAACTAAACGACTAATGTTCTTTCATGTTGCTGAATGTTCTTATACCCTGGACGAACTTGTATTCTTTTGTGCTTGAAAATTTGTATGTGAATGATCATCAATAAGGAGGGAACTTCAAAAGAGTTTGTTTCGTGTCGTCTTTCATAGTACCATGCACTTGTTTCATTTGTGTAGCTGTATTTTATGGTGAAGTAAATAGGTCTTTGGAAGTGGAAGTGATTATTTTGTGAATTTCTCTCTAACAATCTGTGAAGGGCTGTTGTTCTCAGTTTCTTTTTATTGTAGAATATATTTTGACTTTTTACTAGGAGTAGTTATTATTTGTCCTACCCATGATGCCCCTAGGAATTCTTTTTTCCCTTGATTTAGCTGTTGATCCCTGCCTAAAAGTTGGTAGGGTATCTGAGTCAGCATTGAGCTCTCCAAAATGGAATATGAGTGCCACAAAAAAGCTAGCTTTGTAAACAATACATGGACGCCTGGTAGTACTGTTTGGTTTGTTTTTCGTTTCTGGGTCTCTTCTTAACATACCAGCTCAAACATAGTATAACCTTAAATCTACTACCATTCACTATAAAATCCATTTTCTTCAGTTTTCTGCATTGTTTGTCCATTATTCATGCAAGTTGATATGAACTAATAGAGCTAAATCTAGATTACTAATTCTCTGCTGGATAGTGTTTCATTTCTAATTGGTAGACTGCTGGACAGTATTAGTCCTGGCATTCGTGCAAATTAGAAAGTCTGAATAGTTGTGATGTTTTATCACTGACTCACAACTTGAAAGTAAAAAATTCCATTCGAAATTAGAAATAGCTAACTTGTTTCGACAAAAAAAAAATGTGTAGCAGTATGTTTGAAATCTGATACTTTTAATTTGAAGGATCCTGGGTATTAAAGTTTCTCTCTTGGTTTTTTGTTTGACTTTCACTCTTTATTTTTCTCTTGGTTTTTTGTCTTATACTCTGATTGTGTTGGCCCTTAGCTGTCTGGACTTTTGTATGCCCTCTGTCTACTAAAATTTGCATACTTGATAAGCCTTCTCATGGATTTTGCATCACTCGCCTTTCACTTAAGTGATCCTTGCGATTTTGTCTACTGTGCAATTATTTTATTGAATACAGTTTCTCTAAATACATCATTTTCAATCTTTCTCTTATGGTTTTCCTTTTCCTATTGGGCAGTATGTGCTGCTTGCTGCAGAAAAGATAAAAAACACATCTCATTGGGAAGTTGATGTTGAGGTGGAAGAGTTTTATGTCAAAGAGGGTGCAAATCATCTTAATGGCGGCTTATTTGTAGGGAAAACACTTATTTATGCTGATCTAAATCATATTATCTTGAGGATCACCCCCAAATATGAATCTGAAGCCAAGGAAAACTCTGTTTTGGTTTCATCTCACATTGATACTGTTTTCTCAACGTACGTATGTGATTATAATATCTTTCACTGTTGTTTTGACTTTTGACTGTCTCTGTATTTGTGACAAGCTTCTGAAGAAGAGTTTAGTAATATACTTATTCTCTTGAAACATCTATATCTATGTATGCCTTTCTGATGGACTAGAGCTTGGACCTGTGTTTCATGTCTTTAAAGGATTGGATGGAGTTAATCTGATGCTATTAAATAGCTAGTAGCATTTTTTGTTTCATAAAAAATTCCAAAATACGTCCTTTACTCAACAAAAATTATACGCCATTTAGTGTTAATATAATTGCATTTGCTAATCAACTTCAGGAAACCACATCTTACTGCTATTCTACTTATACATTATTACCTCACCTGTAGTTAATTGAATCATGCCTACTGTATGTTAAAAAGCTATATTTACTATACATATTGTATATGAATTAATTTTCTGAACTTGTTTTTCTTAGTAGTTAGATCTATAATAGTGAAGTACATGTTATCTAGATGCTCTTTAGGATAAACTTTTTATTTCTTTTGACCACGGGCCATTAGTGAAATGCATTACATATAAATTTTTACGAGATGATGTTTTGTTGTTAAAAGTAAGGAAATTAAGGAATTCTTGTTGGCGATAGTTTTGTGTGAAGAAAACATAAATGGAGACAGTATATTGGTCATCTCCTGGCTGCATTGGGAGATTTTTTTAATTATAGCTTCAATGTCTCCTTTAATCTCTCTTGATTCTTGGTTGGAGAGCTGAATATTTCTATTTGAATCCTTTCTGAAAATTTCTATACGAAGAAAACTTTTTAATAAATCAGATACATGGTCAGATTAGACTAAAGTCAAAATTCTAGAAAGCAAAATCCCTTTGAGTGATGAAAATGAAGTATAAGTTAAATATGAAACTGTCAAGTGCCATTGGCTCCGTTTGCAAAAAATGACTATTCTCTTACTCCCTCCGTATGTTATTACTTGCTATATTTCTCTTTGGCACGTATGCCGATGTAAATCTTTGATCATTAATATCTTTAATTATCAAGAAGTATAATATATAGTGATTGATAATTAATAATTTATTTATTGAGACGATTCCAACAAGTACCCACAAGGCTATATTTTTTTTATTATGTATAAATCACAACACATTAATCAAAGTAGGTCAAATGAATAGTGCAAAAGGTGCATATGGAGCAAGTAATAAAATACGTAGTATTTCTCTCTCTCTCTCTTTTTATTTATTTATTTTTTTTTTTTAATTTATTATTATTATTATTATTTTTAATTTTTTTTTATTTTTTATTTTGGTTAATGAACTTATATAATCTAGGAATTGATATATCTTTTCTATTGTTAATTAGTTTTGCTTCCTCATTTCTTGCTTAGGCCACTAGGAGATTGGGGCTTGACTTTGTCTTTAAATATCCAGGGCTGCAGATCCCCTTTTGAATTACTAGGGAAAATTCCGTGATGTCCGCATGGGGATATAATGTGAGGTTTTTTATGATTATTCATTATCATAGGAAAGCCTTGTGTAAGTGCACATTGTTGTGTGAGAAACCAAGGACCGCATACCTTGCTCCTTAGTCATCTTTTGAATGTTTTTTTAGTAGACCGTCGTTTTCTCTTTGAGTGAAACATGCATCGAGCTTTCTGTAACTGTTATAGTAGTACACAATAGTTGCAAATCCTGCAGCATTGTGTAAGTGCACTGTGCATATTTTACTGAAAACTTGTTTATTTGCTCTTTGTCTTAATCTGTTGAGAACTGTTTGTATTTTAGGGGAGGAGCTGGTGATTGCAGTTCATGTGTTGCAGTCATGTTGGAGCTTGCCAGAGGAGTCTCACAATGGGCTCACAGCTTCAGGAGCTCTGTCATTTTCTTGTTTAATACTGGTGAGGAAGAGGGTCTAAACGGTGCTCATAGCTTCATTAATCAGGTATCTTACATATCTACATGCTCAAGGTGATAGCGTTTTCTTTCCATTATCTTTCCAATTTATCACGGGAAGGAAGAGAATTGGTATAGTTGCTTGGAATTTAAGTTTGACCTGCTATCTTTATGCAGCATCCATGGAGCGAAACTGTTCGTGTTGCTATTGATTTGGAGGCCATGGGCGTTGGAGGAAAGGCCGGGATTTTTCAGGTCAAAATCTAAATATTTTCATGCCATAGGTTTCCATAGTCAATCTCACGGATAAAATAATTTAATTTAATTCACTTCAAAAAAAAAAATTTAATTGATTAAAATCCATATTATTTTTTGTTCTAGTGCTCTATGGTTTTCCTTAAATTCTAAATTCTTTTTTCTTGTTGCTTATACAATAATACTGCCTGCTCGCATTGGAAATAAGAAATCATGAGCTATTAAGTTGATGTGCTCTGTGTATATATATATATCTTTCAGGCTGGAACTCATCCTTGGGCTATCGAAAAATTTGCCTTAGTAGCTAAGTATCCATCTGGTAATATCATGGCACAGGTTAGTTCCTTGTGTGCTACATTGCAGTTTCAAATAAGAACAAATGTTGGATGTATTTGCCAATAAATACTGAATTCATGACAAATCAATTTTGTTCTTTTTCTTCCCAATATGGCCTACATATAGCAATAAGGTACGCTATGGTATGTGATCATGTATGAATATAGCCACTTTATTATTACTCATGGAGCTGGGACCATGATGTGCATCCAAATATCTCATAATTTGTGAAATTTATGTTCATTTTCGCTGCTGAAGTAAGAAATGAACTATATGGCCAGAATAAATGAACTGTAACGATTTGCTTATAAAATTTTAAACTACATGTTCGTCTAGCGCACATCTTTATCCTGAGACTAAGTTAATAGTTTTCAGACTTGTCATTGTGACCGTGGGTGTAATATAGAGTTTTCTGTTACATCGTGCACCTTCTTATTCGTGTTTGTTTCATTAGCTTCTTTACACATGAACACTTACAATTGATTTAGTGTCGCAGGATTTATTTACTTCCGGTATCATTAAATCTGCTACAGACTTTCAAGTTTACCAGGAAGCTGGTCTATCTGGACTTGACTTTGCTTTCACGGACAATACAGCAGTTTATCACACAAAGGTTTGTTTTGCTTGATTTCAAACTTATTAATATGTTTAAAGGGTCTCTTTTGGGAAAAAAAATTCTCCCTCTGTCCAGTAACGTCTGCAACTCTGCACTCTTTGCAATCTCTGACTTAAACATCTGAATAGATATCAGGTGGTTCGTGAGGTTGCTTTTTCTTATGGGTTAGGCATAAATAATGAGAAAAGCACTTGGGTTGTTTTGTTGGGTTTTTTGGTTAAATTTGGCTTGGGTCACATCAGGCAATAATCCATCAGGCCTCTTTTGGTTGACATGGAAATTAAATTCCCATAGGAAGCACTTAATGGGAAGTTATTCACCTAATAAAATTCCTAGGGATTTCCTTATTATGTTTGGTTGGCATTGTGGGAATTTAAAATTCCCTTGAATTTTAATTCGTTAATGGGACTTGGTAATATACTTCCCATATTTTGTGGAAATATTCTCAGTTCCTTTATTTTTACTTTTGTGTGACAACCAAACAATTACCCAACTTATCAATTTATATGAATTTCCATTTCCCTCATTTTATGCTGTGAATCAAACAAGGCCTCAGTTTGGTTTAGTTTATTTTTATTTTGATTATATGATGTGTTGTTATTCAGAGTTTTCATTGTACTTCCTCAACCCTTATTTAATTTAAAAGTGGTTGGAGGGAGAGAGGAAGGAGGGGGGGGGGGGTCACACAATTTTAAACAGAGGAGAGAGATAAAGTGAGAACCACTGGCCAAATTAAACAATGTTGCAATTATTTTGCAACTTACAAATAGGAATATGCTGTGAATAAAAGGGAATGGAGGAAGTACTATTTACGGCAGACCAATCTGTGGGCATCAATAATTCAGGTTGGTGCAGTTCTGATTTGGTTCAATTTTTGTATGGGAAAAAAACTGGAAGTATAGTTTTGATTTGGTCATCATCATACTTTAATTTGATGAGTTTATGTGACCAACTTAAAAGCTTAAGCTATGTCATATATTATTACTCCCTTCATTTTTTTTAATCGCACCATTTCGATTCTTTCACTATTCACCCATCCATCTCTGACCATCTTTTGTATTTTATAGGTAAGAAAAAATATAATCATGTGTTACCTTATTGGACTTGTCTTGAATTATTCTTGTATCAAATCTTTACGGACTATAGTTTTTACTAAAACCAAATTAAAGATATTAATATCTAAAGTTTTGCATTGGCAAACGTGAAACACTAAATGGTTCAATTATAAAAAAAAGGAGGAAATATTATTTTACAATTATGGCATTACATACTGTGTGGTCTAAATTTTTGGATAAGAATATGCTGCCATCTGGCATGTTCACAATGTGTTGGTGTTTCTAGCTGGAAAGAATTATTTTTTTTTGTTTATGCAGCTGTGATAATTTGTCTAGAACAAGTTTTATCTTTTTTATATTTCCTCCATTTCTTTTCAGATGCACCACTTTCTAAATATGGAAGTTTGAATTTAGATGCATCACTTTCCTTTTATAATTTGTCTAGAACAAGTTATATCTTTTTTATATTTCCTCCATTTCTTTTTTGATGCACCACTTTCTAAATATGGAAGTTTGAATTTAGATGCATCACTTTCCTTTTTAACTAATTAATTCTCCCTATTTCTCTCATATCACATGGGCCCGTTTATTTTTTCCCTCTCTACCTCTCTCTCTACTCCCAAACTTACCTAGGAGTCCGTGAAAACCAAAATGATACAAAAATAAAAACAGAGGAAGTACAAGGATAATTTATTTAAGGAACTATGAAGAAAAGTAGTTTGCAAATTACACATTACTACCTCCGTTTCACATAATATGCAACAAACTCCCTTTCACATTCCCCAAGACATAATATGTTAAGCAAAGATTAGTAAAAAAAGGGTCATGGGATTAATTGAATTAGAGAGAAAGTAACACCACCAACACCCACCTTGTAACCTACCTTCTCACCGGTCACCATCACTAAGTAGCTCGCTCCACCACCCAAACCCCACCCAACCAACTCGCACCACCACCCAAAACACACCCAACCAACTCGCACTGCCATTTAACGAACCCACCCAACCAACTCGCACAACCAGCCGACCACCTTACCACCTCCAACTAATCGAAACCCCAACTAACTCACACGACCATCATCGACTAGCCGCCCACCAACAAACCCATCTAACGAACCGAAACAACCACCTTACCACCTTCAACAAACCGAAACCCCAACAAAACCCCTCTAATCAATACTATATACTAAAAGATACACCAGCGATGACACATGTCATCTCCTGGTGTGTCCTTAGTTATTTTTTTTCTTTTTCTTTAAAAAAATATTTTAATTAAGGAAACAAATCATTTACAAAAATCACATATTTGTTTTTTGTACATATTCCATATTGACACGTGATAAAAATTATATTTAAAATAAAAGATTTATTCACAAATTTTTCTTAAAAAAAATTGGGCAATATATAACAAAAAATAATATTTTTAAATAATTAGTGATCTATTTTACAATAAAAAAATAATATTGCTCACATTTTTTGCCTACTTTGTTTTAGTTGTGTATTTGAAGCTACAATTAAAATTGCAAATATCAAATTAACATATCACATACTTTTATTATTTCTTGACTAATTTATGATTATAATATTTCTCAATCAATAATATATAACTATATATAAAGATCACTGTGCATGACACGGGATTTAACCTAGTTTAAATCTAAAACCCTAACAAACCACCACAAAGGAAACAAATCAAAATCCTACCTCACAACCACAAAGATATAAAATTCCACCTTACAACCAACAAGATCCAAAATCTCACCTCGTATTGGTTCCAAAAACCCATTTTATTTCGAAATCCGGCGAATTTTGAAAAGGGGAAAAGAGCAGACTACGACGACTTTGAACAGCGACAAAGAGGGGCGGCGGTGGCGGTGACGAACTAGCGAGTAGGTGAGTTGATATGAGCGGTGGTGGTGGTGCGGTAGTTGTGTGAGAAGAAAGAGAATAGTGAATAGGGCTGCCTGGTGGTGGTTGAGAGGGAGGAGAGAGAAAAAATTGGTGATGTTGGTGGTGGATGTGGTTGTGAGGGAGGAGAGAGAATGTGGGTTAGGGTTTTAATTATGGATAAATTCATTTGGATTATGAGGTTAATATGTTGTTTATTGGAGTGAATTAAAATTTAGTAAGGGTATAAATGTAAAATCATACAAAAAAATTGCTATATTAGGAAAGTTTGGTTTTTGTTGCACATAATGTGAAGCTTCCGTAAATGGAAATTGTTGCAGATAATGCGAAACGGAGGTAGTATTTATTATCAGTCAAACCTCCTGAGAAAATAATATTTCTCTGAAGGCTACACTTATGTAGGGGCTACACTTATGTAGGCTTACACTCTTCCGAACTAATCATATTAATTATGAGTGGTACCTGAATGATACCATGTAAATGTGAAAATTTTATTCTAGGAAAACTCACGACTAGAAGATCTTTTTAATACCCTCCTCTTTTCCCCCCAAAAGTATAGTGCTGTGTGGAATGCAAATGGTACATGAGAGCTTGTAACACTCATCTTTTCTTCATTGTAGCAAATAAATAATTTGTTGTTTCCTCCATGAGGCAAAAATATAATTTCCTTTTTCATTTAAAAGTAAAAGTAACCTTTTGTTTTCCCTCTAAACCACATCAATTTTGATCTCTGACAATTTATACTTTCCCTACCTTTTTTTTAAGGAAATTTTGCAAAAAACCACCTTTTAAATTTTTTTTTTTTTGCATTTAACCATCTTTTAAAAAAAATGTTGCAAAAAACCACCAATTTTAAAAATTTTGTTGCAACTTACCACCAATTCAATGTAAAACAATTAATAAATTTGGCTAAAAAAGTGGTGATTTGCAACAAAATTTTTAAAATTGATGGTCTTTTGCAATATTTTATTTAAAAGGTGGTTATATGCAAAAAACAAGATATAAAATGTGGTTTTTTGCAAAATTTCCTTTTTTAATTTCTCTCTATCTACTTAAATTATTTTTATTATTATTTTTTATAATTCCTTGTTTAACGATATACTTAATACCCATGCAGCAAAAAAATAAAATAAAATTGGGAGAGTATGAAAGAAGTAAGCCAAACAAGAATGCAAGAACATAAGATTCATGAAATTCCTTACCACCAACGGCACCGATAATATATTGAGCACTTTAAGAGCTGTATCACTTGTATCCTATCACTTCCATTTAGGTTGCTTTAATTACCAAGGTTTTGCTTTGTGAACATTTTGTTTGATTTTGGCCCAAATTAAAGTGTCAAGGTGTCTGATGAAATGAAGAGTTGAGTAAAATACGTCTTGGTTCCAGGTTTTATGACCTAACTAGTCGTTGTTGCTAGATCTATAGACCTTACCACACTCTTCATATGCTTTTAAATTTTAGTGGAGGCCATGGTTTGAAAAATATGGTTTTGGTCGCGATCAAGGAAATGATCATTTGTTGAGGAAACATAACTGATGTATTGATTACAGTCCTTGTTGCGGTTGTTGCAATATGAATTTGATTATTAAATTTTTTTAGGATTTTATATTAATGGTAAGATAATTAGGGTAGCTATAGATGACAATTAGAGGCTTGGAGCTATAATTAGAGAGACATGGAGAATCATTCACTTGAATAGCAAGGAACATTTGACTGAGACACATTATATGGCCTTCAATTCTGGGCGATTTGGTGTGGGATTATTTGATTTGGACAAGATTGTGGGTTTTTGAAACATCCTTTGTCGAATGGTCAATTGAAAATCCTTGCAATACTGCCTAGCTGGAAATGATGTGGTCGTATTTTTGGTAATGGTAGAGGCTGCAATACGAATGTTAGTCACTTCTTGTGAGAGCATTTTCTATTGCTGTTTTGCATGAAGGATGCTATTCTTTGTATTGATATGAGTCTTGAAATTGTAAGATAAATATATATTTTGAATTAAATTTAACAAATGATGCTTATAACAATTAATGACTTGAGAATTATTTATTGAGCAAGCTTAGTAAGGGATGCATTCTAGCTGATATATTTCTCATTGGTAAGAATTCAAACTACCCCCAAGGTTATCCCTCTCACCGCTCCTTACGCACTTAAAAAAAAGTCTTGAATAGCTTTCTCTAGACTGACTCTTGTGTGCAACAGCAACATGTTATTATATGTTTATTTATTTTCTGTTGTGAGTGGCAAAATACTAATAGAAATCATGAAATTAGTAATAGCTTAATACATAAGGCCATAAGGCTACTACCCCCAAAAGATGTGATTGGGATAGTTGTATTGTGCCTTACAATGCAATATGTGGTTTCATTCACCAATAAAGCTTTCTGTAGACTATGTCTACAGTCCACCACATGGCCTCTCTCATGAGATTGGTGAATAAGTAGCCTTTTACCTCAGTTGATCCCATTAGTTTACCACTTCCTTTATTAAACATATTTTGATGAAAGAGAATAATATTTTGAATATTTGAGAATATCGTGCATTATCTTGGAGAAAATATTTTGATTAAGATAATATCCATATGCAGAATGACAAAGTTGAGCTATTAAAGCCTGGTTCTCTTCAGCATCTTGGAGAAAATATGTTGGCGTTTTTGCTTCATGTTGCATCTTCAACTGATCTTGTGAAAGGCAATGCTTCCAGAGCACCAGAACATGCCGATCAAAACTCTGCCATATATTTTGACATATTGGTAATACTTGTGGAAAATTGATTATTGTTTGATTTGACTTTCTGTATGCTCGATATATAGTTTCTGTATATTTTTTTGTTTTATTTTTTTTGGTATATAATACCTATATCTTTGCAATTGTCAGGGGAGCTACATGATCGTGTATAGTCAGCAGTTTGCAAATATGCTGAACAACTCTGTGATTTTGCAGTCGCTGTTGATATGGTTCATGTCCTTATTTATGGGCGGTTATCCAGCTATAGTTTCGTTTTCTTTGTCAATTTTAAGTGTTATCCTTATGTGGATAGTTTCTTTGAGCTTCTCTATTGGTGTTGCCTTCATCCTCTCAAGCATATCGTGGGCAGCAGTGCCTTACATTGCAAGTCCGTGGTTGGTTATTGGTTTATTTGGGTTCCCTTCTCTTCTTGGGGCTTTTGCTGGTCAAAATCTTGGTTTTCTCCTTCTGCAAAAGTATCTTTCTAATGCATATGCCCAGGGAAAGCAGACTTTATTGCCATCCGTTCAAGTTAATTTAGCCAGGTTAGAGGCTGAAAGGTGGCTCTTTAAATCAGGAACTATGCAGTGGCTGATTATTTTGGTTCTGGCACATTACTATAAAGTTGGTAGTTCATATATACCCTTGGTTTGGCTTATTGCGCCGGCTTTCTCATGTAAGTGAATACACTTCTGTATGTTAACTTCTGTATTTAGAGAAATTTATTGTAGATTGACATAATAATCATTATAAACAAACAAAACAGAACATTCTCTTATCTATCTTATATACTCCTTCCATTTCGCTGAAATTGCAACACTTGCTAACTTAAGTTGTTTAAAAATAAATCACAATGCTTAATTTATGGTAACATTTACAACTTCACCCATTTACTCTACTCATACTTGGCTCACTCTCTCCCTTCCTCTCTATCTTCTTATACTTCTTGCTTTTGTGTATTTTGTGTTCATTCCATGTGCAACCTTAGTGAAAGAAGGCATTGGAACGCTATCTTCTTTATTTGCAATTTTTGCAATCATTTTTCCGAACTAACTTTTGTCTTCATGTAGATGGGCTACTAGAGGCAACACTGACCCCAATTCGGTTACCCAAGCCGCTGAAGATTGTAACCTTACTTATTTCTTTATCAGTTCCTCTCTTAGTTTCTATTGGTTCGATCATTCGAATATTGGGTGTACTTATCGGGACTGCTGTACGCTTTGACAGGTAAAAATTCTATTAGTGATATTAAGTATTTGAACGCTAGTTGTCGCTTTCTTTTTCCTTAATTTGTTTTTAGGTAATAGTAAATAGAATGTTGTTAAAAAGAGCAAAGAAGAAAGGAAAAAAGGAATAAAAGCTAAGTAAAAGGAATAAAAAAAGAAAAAAGAAATCGTCCTTAAAAATAGTTGGCTGCAAAGTATGAGAATAAATTCTGTATCTTGATAGAGAAAACATATCGGGTGCTTCTTAGAGCATTCTTGAATGATCTACAGTTCCCATATGTTCATGATGTATTGCAGCACAAAGATTCATAAATTCATCTTCTTCTCATTGGCATTTGGTTCTAGTTTTTTCTTCATCACATTCTGTATTTCTGTGTATCTGAGATTGTAAATATAAATTTCATGCCCACCCTAGGCAGGAATTTAGATTTGTGCTGCCTTACTAGGGCAATAGTAAGATTTTCATTGAGCCTTTCTTTCATAATTTCATATATCATTATCAATAAATATGTGCAGAATAGTTATCTTCTTAAAAAGTAGTGTATGTTCATCAGGCACTCAGAGTGATGCTAATTCTGCTGGTTTATTACTGTGCAGAAATCCTGGGGGTGTTCCTGAATGGCTGCTGAATGTAATTGTATCTGTAGTTGTAGCTGCTACTGTATGCTTGACATTGGTGTATCTACTTTCTTACATCCACCTTTCAGGTCTGCTGCTATTCAACTCTTGCATCTTATATTCTTAGTATGCTTGATTGCTTGACTGTTAGGGAGATTTTTTGATATCGACATGAACCTAGTGACTCAGAAATACCAATCTAGATTCATAGTTCCATCCTTCTATAGACTGGTTGACCATGAAAGTATCTGAACCCATGGGTAAGATCACAGAAGAATTTTCATTTTTACTGGCTTTGTAAAAGAATTATTTTTTATTTTTGTATATAAAGAAATTTTTTCCTTTCAAAAAAAATTAAAAAATATAAAGAAAATTTTGGGGTTATGTGGTAGTATACGCTGAGGGATTATATACCCTAAAAATATTTGTTTACATATTTTCCCTCGCCATGTTGCCAAGGCAACAACTGAAATAGCTCCCCGGACATGATTAGTTATGTTAGCCACCCTAGTCTTGAAATAGAATGAGATTGTCAAATGTTCTGTACAGTTTTATTCCAAATTAATTTACGGTTTGTGTTTTTTTTGCAACATGTCTAGGAGCTAAAAAGTCTATCATTCTGGTGAGTTTTGTTTGTTTTGGGCTCTCCCTGGCTGCAGTATGGTCTGGTGTCATTCCAAGTTACTCCGAAGAGACTGCTAGAACTGTGAATGTAAGTTACTGATAACATATACTTTTTCAGCAGAAAAGATGTTCTTTCATTGCCATAATCCTCAGCAATCAGCCTATATTTAAAATAAAATGATTCTGCATGTGATTACTTTATGAACTTGGAAGTTGTACATTTTTCTTTGTCTGACCGGATTTGATATGATATCTGTTGATATAGTGTTAGGATTGGGCTCAGCAAACAAGTATGCCGTCTAAGTACTATCGTAAACCTTTCTCCTACCTTCGAATAATGATATGGGATAGTAAAATCGACAGTCACACTTCCAGTTGCACACTAAATTTAATATTTGGCAGATATGTGGTATGGAATATAAAACTTTTTTTGATGCTCTGAGCAGATGGGCTTTGTAATATTTATGCGTTGTGGGTTCAAAATTGGGTAATAAATCTATAAGGCATATAATGTTAATCTGAGAATACTATAGTTCTAATTGTTATGTACTCCTATTCTAAAATATAAGCACATTAGGTGTTTAATGTTATAATTTTTAGAATTCTTTCATTTAGGAAATTCTTGAAGTTATTTATTGTTTCTAGCTATACAAAGTCATAGAACGTACTAGCTCTGTTCCTAAAGGCTCCTTGCTCTTTCCCAATAAGTACTTCCTTAATGCTCTTTACACATCTACTTTATTCCATTTTTGACCAGGAACTTTTACCATTTTACCTTCCTTTAGTCCACCACAACATATCCACATGCAATATCCACAATTTCTTTATCACTTGTTCCCCACCTTTACTCATTCTACCCTGATGCCTTAATTCCAGTGAAAATAATTTTCAAGAATATTAAGGAACAAAGGTAGTAAAAAGTAATATTTTACAGAGAGTTAATGTTGAGTTAGTTTGTGCTTCAAGAGTATCAAGACCATCTGTCCTTTCTATTTAATGTTATCTTATGTTAGTGGTTTTGGTGACTAAGATTCATTATGTAGAAAGAATAAAACTATAAAACCCTTGTTTCTATAATCCAAGTGCGTGAAACCTGACAGCCTAATACCCTCACCTTTGTGATCTCAAAAGAACTCCTAATCTTCAAAGTCATGGCATAGCTATGTAGAACAAGTAAACATTGAAGCTAAGAGAATTGATATAATGTGCTTTCTCATCCAAGTTTAATTCCTAAAGTTAGTCCTGGGATATGATCACTAAATAATCTATATCATTTTAAACAAAAAAAGTACTTCCTCCGTTTCTTATTATTGTGTGAAGGGAGTTAAAAATCACACGATTAAATAGGTTTTAAAGTGCATGTGGCAAAACTGGCATTAGATAGAAGTGAATGTGGTGGAGAGATTCTTTCTGGATGATTGAATGAGATTTAATTTTGGTTGATGTAGTCTGTTATATACTTTTTTGGAATAAAGATTTTTTTTTTTTTTTTTTTTTTTTTTTTTTTTTTTTTGGTTTTTGTATTATGCAATGTGTTTCTTTACCAAACAAGAAAAAATAAATTCAGAATATATTTCATATACAAAAGCACTTAGGTAGGTCTTATTACCTGATTCATCAACATTCATTGGAAAATAAATTGTTCATACCATGTATTCCATGTAAAGCTGCATACTGGCTTATAATTGTTGTGTCTGAATTCAGTGTTTTTTCTTATTAGTAGTCTCTCATATCACCAAATTCAGATGTTCAACATTCACTTTTTCGAATAGATAACCTTTATTAATGCTTCTCAGGTTGTTCACGTTGTTGATACAATGGGTGGACATGATAATGCAAGAGACCCTACCTCGTATATTTCATTCTTTTCCTCAACTCCAGGGAACTTGGATAGGGAGATTGAACAGATCAATGAAGGTTTTGAATGTGGTAGAGAGACAGCTGTGGATTTTGTTACTTTCTCTGTGAACTATGGTTGCTTGAGCTACAATGAAACTGAACAAGGATGGAGTGACCTTGATATTCCCAAAATTGAAATTAAGAGCGACAGGAAGATGGATTTAAGAGTGACTGAGCTTTCAATTGACACAGGGGTCTCCACGAGATGGTCTATTGCAATTAATACAGATGAAATAACAAATTTTGAATTCCGAGGTATAGTTGTTCAAATAACTTATTGCATCTTCTTTTGGTAATTCCCAATCACCATTTCTCTTAGCAATTTCCTATTTATACGAACTATGAATTTGTTGCCTATTGACCTGGACCTTTTTTTTATATAGTAGAAATTAGAAAAACATATTTAAACAAAGCAATGAATTTCAAAACTTAGTAAGACACCCATAAACTTTTAAGATAAGATTAAGCCATAAGGTTAAAATATGGATTATTTTGTGTCTTATATATATATATATATATATATATATATATATATATATATATATATATACTACCTCCGTTAACGGTTATTTGCAACAAAAGGGGTAGCGCGGACTTCTAGGCAAAAGTTTTTAAACATGATTAGTGAAATACAAGGGTAGTACTGAAGTATTGATCCAATTAAAAAGGAAAAAACACAATTAACCAAAATCACTAAATCACCACCATCACTACCGAAACCCAGAAACCACCACCACCGAACCCACCAAAAACCTAGAAACCACCACCACTATCGAAAATCCAGAACCCAACGAAAACCACCTACACCCACGAATCGACCGAAAACCACCACCTAAAGCCCCTGGAACAACCAAAATCCATCGAAAACCACCACCATATCTTGTAAAAAACAGCCACCAAAACCCACCAAAAACAACTACCACCCCCACGAATTGAATTAATCCCGATTAAGCCACCACCACCACAAAACCCAACACCACCTAGACCACCCACGAAACCCACAAAACCTAGACCACCATCTAGACCCTCGACACCTAGATCCACCCACGAAACCCACAAAACCTAAACCACCATCCACACCATACCCATGACACCTATAGGCAACCACCTCCACATCTTGACAGAAGATGGGGAAGATGAAGGAGGAGAGAAATTTTGATGATGGAGGAGTGAGAAATTTGATGAACAAGATGAATGTTGAGAGATTTGGTGTTTTTTTAACAGATTTGATATTTTTTTTTTTGAAGTTTAGATGAGTTAAGTTAGGGTTATAATAGAGTATTGTTAGTGAAATGATTAAGGGAGTAGGTTGGTTAAGTGAGGGTAGTTTGGTCATTTCTTACAAAAAAAACTTACTATAAGAAGGAAAATAACATTTGTTGCATATAATAGATAGTGAATGGTTGTTAACGGAAAAGATTCTGTGTTACTGGAATATTGGGAAAGCCTAACACATTTTTGTTAACATGGGTGCATTTGATTCTTATGATGATTGGTTAAACAACCATTCACTATCTAGGGCTAATATGATGAGGATCACAAGATTTGGTAATAGGAAAGAGAGACATATGCTTTGGTTATACTTGTATCTCTTAAGTTTGATTTTCCTGTCATATGTTTGTTGTAAAATGAAAATAACAGATCTTAGAATCTTTTCTTTAGTAATATATATATATATATATATATATATTAAGAGTGTTTCTTTTATATGGGATCGAGATTGATATATTATCATGGTTGGAACTGTCCTAATTTATGTCTCATCCTCATCTAAATGAGTTATTATCTCGCTTAAGAAAAGAGAAAATCGTACAATCATATATACGGAGTATGTATATATTTTTTTTCTACATTGACATATGTGTGCTCTCTCAGTATCAGGTGATCATAAGGAGCTAGTTCCAATGAGCAATAAGAGTAGCATTGGTGGTTGGCATGTCATTCAGTTTTCTGGAGGAAAGAATGCTCCAACAAAATTTGATCTTACCCTTCAATGGATCAAAAATTCTGTGCGTTCTACTAGTCATGCCAGTCCTGATGCACAAAAATATCTTATAAAATTGAGGACGGATATAAACAGATTAACTCCAAAATCAGAGAGAGTTTTGATGAAGCTTCCTTCTTGGTGTTCTCTTTTTGGGAAGTCCACTTCTCCATATACCTTGGCATTTTTGACTGCTCTTCCCATTGATTTCTAAAACAATTATTTGCATTAAGTGCATAAATTATTTTTATAGCAAAAAAAAAAAAAAAAAATATTAACTTTTGAAATTAGCATTTGTATAACCTGTTAGATGTATATAAACTTTATTTTTAGTTGCAATTACTTGATTTTAAAGAGTATGATGAAGTAAATAGAAATTTAGCGTAGTAAACAAGAAGTAATCTAAATAATAGAGGAAGATTACTTCTTGTTTGTTACCGATAATCAATAATCAACCAATAACTACATACTAAAGGTACATAAAAATGACGTGTCAAAATTTAGTTAAATATTTTTCCGCCAATTTATTTTTCCACCAGATTAAAGTTCGTCCGAAGTATGGTTTTTTCATTTGAGGTTTTTAGTTATTTGATTTATTATGTTTAATAATTTTAGACAAAATTACAAAATTTTAATTTAAATTTTTATATTGTAATTCATAATGAATTTATTAAATATAAATAAATTGTAAGTATCATATTTTATCCGTTATATAAAATCTTTAATGTGAAAGATAAATATTTTATGATTTTAATAATTAAAATGTTAAATCATTATTCATTTGTTTTTACTATATCTTTTATTTCAGTAGAATCACATACTTCGTTCACAACCAATTTACCATTTATGGATAAATTGAACTGTTAAATGTTAGCAAAGTTGAAATTTATATAAATCAAATCTTTACATTTATATAAAATAAATAAATCAATATATTTACCAATAAATAAATAATTTTGTTTGTGTCGTATGATGTGTTAGATCTCCATGTAAGAAAATTTTAGAAAAATAAAGCATAAACATATAATCGTTAAATATCCCAAATTAACACAATTTAAGTAATAATTACAAATTCAAATTTAAACATATGATTTTAAAAATTAAGCTAAAAATTACCCGGCCATTAATGACCAAAAATAGTTAACACCAAATTCGTTTGATTGGGTTTTATTGATACGAAATTTTGTTTGTGTCGTATGACGTGTCAATTTATAATGGTATGTATCAAAAATTTTAATTTAATTATAATTAACAAACAATTTTTTTATTTCTTATCATAAATACTATCATAATATATTTATAATGATAGGTGTAGACACCTAAAAATGTCTCCCCAAAACCAAACCCTATGATGAAAGACCTTTCACTGCCATTATTGGTCAGGTTGAGTATTTAATTTTTGGAGTGCTTAAATCCATGTTTTCATTCAATACATTTCATAAACCACTCCATTTCTTAGCTCATTTCCCTACACCATAACTTGTTTTCCTCTTTTCGTTTCCACATCGCAAAATCAAGAGAAACTGATTTTGTTGCCTTATAATTTTGATCCAATTATTATTGTATTGGATAGGCATTGAAATAAGCTTTCCAACCATATATCATAAGACCAATTCCGATTTACAACGAAGAAGATATGAGCAAAATACTAAACTCGGGCCAAAACCGACACCCTTCTACTAAAACGGACATATCTTAAAATCTACACATGATTTTGTCCTGTTCTAATTGGGTTGGAAAGTAGACTTGATAAGCTTTCCAATGATATATTATACGCCTTATTCCGAGTTACGGATTAAAAGTAATGATAATATTAAAAACGTGTTAAAAATTGGAATTAAGTAAAACTGCCGTATCACGGCGCCTGATGACGTGGCGCGGCGCCTAGTACCGTGACACGGTACTCTTCAAGTGTCATGGTGCTCTCCCGTATTTTTTTCGCGTTACTTTTCTCACGCGCTTATGAACTTGGATGCAAAAAATGTCTCGCGTCACTCAATATTCTGCCGCGTCACTCCAAATTTTGTCGCGTCACTCCAAAATTTTCTTTGTCACTCCATATTTTTCCGTGTCACGGTGCAGCCGCATTACTCCATATTTTTCCGTGCCACGGTGCATATGGAGTGACACGGGAATTTCCCGGGTTTTCTCCGCGTAAAACCTAAAACGCGTTTTATCATTTTAGGGCTGCTAATTCCCCGCGTCACACTACTTTTCCCCGTGTAATGGCATAGTTTGCCGTGTCGCGGCATGATTTTCCATGTCGCGGCAGTGTTTTTTTAGGGTTTTTATACTTTTAGGGTTCCGTGTGTTTCCTCAACTCATTTTCCCTATAAATACCCCCCTCCTTTCTACAGTTCGGGGAACAAAATCATTCACCCTTCCTCTCTTTTACACCAAAAATCATTCTCTTCTCTCTCTCTCATATTTTAAGCCTTAAACCTATATTCTTAATTACACCATTCTTCCCTTAAGCACTCCAAGGAGTCCATCCTCGACCCGAGGTTCCGTCCTTAAACCAAGGTGTGAAAGGTACAAATAACTAAGGGCTTGAATCAAATCAACTCTATATTTATTTAATTTAATTTTAATTTGATTTATATTTTTTTATTGAAGTTACTAATAATTTATTCATGATGTAGCAATTTAAAGGAACGCGCGTAATGTGAGTAATTAATTATTTTAATTACATATTTTATTTTTATATTGCTAGTATCATGATTAGGTTGATTATATTTGATTTGACTAACGTTATTATTGTTGAATTGCTTCCAATATTAATGTTGATTCTATTATGTTTATTTATTGATCACCATATTGCATGTTTAAAGGAAATATGTAATTGAAAATCACGCCTAATAAGATAATTTGGACGACGGTTTAGGTTCCTTTTTAATCTTGTTGTTTAATCGGCGATCACAAATATTTTAAAATTATGTGTTGCATTAATATTCAACCAATGTAGCATAATAATAGTTTGGAGTGAATTGAATCTTTATTTGCATGCCTTTGAGGTCGCAGGAATCACTTTTCACTATAAGAATCGAGTAGAGGCCAATACAGACGAATGTGACTCCATGACTCACTTCGTACCATCATCCCCGATCCTCATTTCGTGGTTCCGAACCATATGGAGTTAGTAATCTCATGGATTATGAATGGGGTGTAACCTTCACGGGTCAATCGTTGTTGCCTATCGTTGTCCCTTTATTGTGGTTGCCTTTAATGATCCGTGAACGGTTTACAAGTTCCTTAAAAACTTGTGGGCGACTCCATACTTTATTTGTCCCTAATCGTATACGTCAATTCCCACTTCCTAAGAGTGCCAAGCATATTCACCACATGCTTCAATGTAGGCACACTTCAAATGATGCCTACAATAGGTATCAAACTTTATTATAAGTGTTTACCATTTGAATATTTATTTATTATTGGAGATTTATCTTTTTCTAATTTTTTTGGATTTCTTATACCTATAGTATTGTTTTAATAAATTAATATTTTCCTATATTTTTACTTATTTTTCATTAAAATAATTTGATTCGTGTATTATAATACACGTGGCATTAAAAATTTATATATATTAAATCTAATTCGTTACTTTTATCTATGTGGCAAAATAATTTTTTTTTTAAAATAAAATACAAATCTTTTTTCTTATTGGTTGAATCAAGTATATATTTCTTAAGTGGTGCTCCAAATGGACTCTAAAAATGCTTACTTTAGTTATATATATTGGATTTTTTCGCAAAATTATATCTTGAGAGATTTTTAATTCACTATAATACACACACACACACACACACACACACACATATATATATATATATATATATATATAGAACCAAGTTATAATGAGAACCAAGGCTAAAATAAGAACTAGGAACTAATCTAGGCCCTTAGATCATGTTAATCCGACGACTCACATGCTTCTTGTGTCATTAATGACATTTTTGTAATATTTGAATGTTATAAATTGATTCCCTAGTTTCATTTCTAAAAAGTAAATAAAAATTTAGTAAAAGTAAATGAAATCGGTCATAAAGTAAATGAAATTGCTTTAAAAGTTTAAAAACTGGAAAAAAAGTTGCAAAAAACGCATAACTACGAAAATGCCATTAATGAATGCGGGTGAAACGTGAGCCATCAGATTGAGTGTGATCAATGGTTGAGATTGGTTCTTAGTTCCTATTATTCACCTTAGTTCTCACAAGATCTCAATTTATATATAGGACCAGGGTATAATGAGAACCAATCCTATAATAAGAACTAGGAACTAATCTAGACCGTCAGATCTAACACAAAAGGCGCGTGATCTGACGGCCCAGATTCATCACGAAACTTTCTCACTCCAAATTCTCTCCTCTGGTCAATCTCTCTCCTCCATTGAAGCAAGTGCACTGAATAATTCTCCATTGATACGGCTTCCAAACTTTCTCTACTCCATCGACGCGGAATCCGAGCTTTCTCTACTCCATTGAAGCAACTTCTGAGGTAAGAAGTTTTATTTCTCTCTGGTTAGTAATCATTAAATTTCGATTTCATTATTGAGGGTTTATTGTTAATTCTTAAATCAAACGTTTTGAATTTCTTCATACGTTCAATTTTGATATCAAATTTACATTTAGTATTACCAGTTCTCAATTAGAGAATGATTTTAGAGATTGATTTTGTTGCTAGATTTTACCTAATCAACTAGATATGATTACTCTGGCATCCAAATTTATGTGAATTTTAGTGAATTTTTGAACAATTCTATGTGAATTAAGTGAACTCTTGTTTTAAAATTATATCGATTGAATTTATATGAATTTTTGGATGTTTTAGCTTACATTTTTGTACTTTTTGGAGCTTCGTTGTTATTTTGATGCTAGGTTGTTGTTGGATGTTGTTGACTTATCCATGAAGGTGGTTTTTGTGCTGTTATAAATTTATCAATTCCAGTAGATATAAACCAAGTAAAAGTAATCCAATTGCATTTTAAAGTACAAGTAATTCCTACATAGGTTCTCTGAAAATACATATTAAAACACTCTAAAGTTATTCAAAATAGCTCAAAAGTAAATCAAAATAACTAAAAAGTAAATCAAATTAGCTCTAAAGTTATTCAAAATGCATAGTACCTCTTAGTAATCTGATTAAAAATAATGTGGGTGCTGCAATCATTAATGGGAAGGAAGTGGGTCTTGGGGTGGTTGTGCGGGACTCAAATAGCAAGATTTTAAACACTATAGTAAGGAGAAGAACTAGCATGTGGGAACCAAGTGTTGCTACTGCTTTGTGTTATGGGGTTGAGATGTCATGTAGTTTTGGCTATAGCAGGGTGTGGATGGAGAATGATGCTCTCACTATCGTTGAGAAAATTAAGGGGAAAATGTCAGGGCTTAGCTATTTGTTTCTCTTGACTGGTCGTGTTATTTATTCAATGTCTTAATTTGATGATTTTTGATGAAGTCATGTTAAGATAGTGGTTAATACTTTAGCACATTTAGTTGCTAGATTTTCCCAATGATTGAGTTGGGGCATTTTTTATGTCTAATAATTAAGTTGTTCGATCCTAAGCAAAGCTGCTATTTTTAATGGCGTTGATGTGAGGTTGGGTGTGTGCATCAAAGATGATGGTGGGAGGCTGCTAGCTGTCGCAGTTTGAAGGGTGCTAGATGATGGTACGGTGAAGCTGGCAGAGGCTCTTGCAGTTAGATGGGGTGCTACTTTCGCTCAACAACTTGGCTTCAGAAAGGTGGAACTCGAATGTGATGCTATTGAAGTTGTTCAGGCTGTTTGCTGGAAAAGGCAAGGTAGAATTCCCACTAAACTTATAATTGAAGACATTTGTAAGCTTGGGAAGGTCTTTGAGGTGTTCTCTTGCAGTCATGTAAGAAGAAGGGAAAATGCTGTCACACACTTAGCTGCTAGGCTTGATCTGATGGGGGGGGGGGACTGAACTAGTTTATACAGACTCTTTCCCACATGGTTTATCTGCTATTGCAGAGCTTGATGTAGTCTGATTTCTTATCAGTTTTATCCCCCACGTTTTTCTGAAAAAAAAAATCCTAAGCAAAGCAATCAAGCGTTATATGCTCGAATATAAGTTGTACTCAGCCCTTATCCTAGATGAGTAACCAGGTTTATTCTGAAATAAGAGTGATGATTTGTATAAAATTGAACCTTGCAAAACCTTTTAGCATGTAAAATCCTAATTGAAGACTGAAATTGTGTAGAATTTCCCATTTGTCCGATATCTTTCTCTGTTAGTACAACATTATGACAGAAAATAAAATCTCATGGAGCTTAATTCCTACAAGAATCTCTTCTTCTTCGTCACTGGCTAGGTCACAAGATTGATCTAGAGCACCCCCCCTTTTTTTCTAACAGTTTCAGCACGGAAACTTATAGTTTTATGTTTTAACTCTTGTAACAGGAAATCCAAGAAGAGGAGTGAGAAACAACGAGAAATAGGTCGATCATACACAAGAAAAGGAAGGGCAGCTGCTGTTCATAATCAGTTTGAAAGGGTAAATTTATTAATAATCAAACTCTTCATTACCTACTAGCAATTTTAATAACAACTTCAAACGATAATAATTTTTCTAGAATATGCAAAAAAGTAGTTATTTTATTTGGAGCAAATTCAGAAATAACATACCTAATATGACTATTTCTACTTGTTCCAAAAAATAATATCATAGCGAAGAAGATATTGTATCAACCAAAAGATGAAAGCTCTGCGGAAGCAGTTCTAAATGTAAGCAAGGTAAGACTATTAGCAAATTTGTGATCCCTTCCCGCAAATATGCAGCACAAATAATAAATATATAACACATTAGCTATATAAAATTTTAAACTCGTCCGCATTAGCATATTGCAGCATTGTATTGAAAAATGATTAGCATTTTAGTTGATTGTTAGCTGATTTATTAGAATTAAGTTGTTGAGATGAGAGTTAAGTTTGTTAGAGAAGCAGGAATAAAAAGTAAATAAAAACGACTCTTAAGTGAATAAAAAAATACTTTAAAGTAAACCTATTAGCTCTATACAGAGGCATAAGTGTAGGTTCGATCCCTACATAGGTTATCTTAAAAAGTAATTACAAAACACTCTAAAGTTATTCAAAATGTTTGAGTTTTTCTGACTTTTAGTTCTAGATAAGCTGTTTAGAATTAACAAGGTTGTATGCAATCAAAAACTTAGTTGTCCTAAAAGTAAATAATATTGAATTTAAAGTAAATAAATAAATAAAAAAAACCTTTAAAGTAAACCTATATTCTCTTGCTCCTCTTTTGTATTTGATTCATCTAGCCTTGAGTTTGTGTTAGAGTTTTTATGACTGTTAGTTCTAGATAAGTTTAGTAAATAAAATCGAATTTAAAGTAAATAAAAGAGACTTTAAAGTAAATCGAAATATACTAAAAGTAAATACGAAAATTTCAAAAGTAGAGTGAATAAAACAATAGTTTTATCTAATAAACAAACCTACGTGGGATTCGAACCCACATCTTTTGTGAATTTGCACAATGCTCTACCTATTGAGCTAGTAGGCTAGTGTATATTCAACATTCAAAGTTGAACAAAATTACTCAAAAGTAAATAAAAAGTACTCAAAAGTAAATCATAATAGCTTAAAAGTAAATAAAAAACACTAAAATGTAAATCAAATATCGTCAAAGTATATTACTAATATTAATATTAACTCAAAAGTAAATAATATTAAATTAAAAGTAGGTAATATTTACTCAAAAGTGAGCTTGATTGGATAAGTGAGTTAATCTACATGTTCATATATTTAATCATTGGATAAGTGAGTTTGAATTTCTAGTAATAAAAGTAGATTCAAAATAATTTAAAGTAAATAAAATATTTCTTAAAGTAAATAGAAAAGTAATTCACCTTCTATACTTTTGAAATCAAAGGAAGACAAAGAAGAGTGAGCGGAAGAGCATGCATATGACTTGCAAGAGAGGAGAGGAATTAGAGACGTTGAGAGGGGAGAGGGAACCGGGGTACTTGCCTTCACAAAGAATGCATTCAAAGGGAGAACATAGAAAACAAACCATATCACTACCGGTGTCCATATAAACATTGGATTAAACATAAATGATGAAATATTAGTAGTACACCCGAGTCTTTAGAAGTCCATTAGTCTATAAGGCCATGCCCCATTGCCTGAATCATCATATCTCTCAAAACATGTACCATTCGCTTACCACCTTTTGTACATTATGTTGCCTCTTAAGATTGCTATTCCTACTGCTAAAACAGCTGAAACCCCTATTGCCCATCTTGTAAGGACACGTTTGGTTTGGAGATTTTGATTCTCTTCTTTAATGGGTTGGGATGTAGAGCAAGGTGGTAGGATCCCACCACAAAGGCCTTTGTTTCTTGCTACATCAGCTAGGTTTATAACCAAAAAAGGAGCATTTAGACAAACTAGTCAATATATGACCAAAAAGGAGCATTTAGACAAACTAGTCAATATATTCTTTTAGCAAACTTAGGGTTTTTGCGCGAATTCAAATGTGAATTAGTAAGGAAATTAGGAGAGAGAGAGTAGATTAGCGGTTCAAATCTTTCTAGAAGTGAAATATGGGAGTCCGTGCCAGTTAAATCCCACTAACTTCCCATTAAGTAGCCGTTAAACACACTCCCTCCAAATTAACTATCTACTAATCCTTTCAACTTCCTTAATTATTATCTAAATAGCAGTTATTTCATTAATAACTGTTCAAATTTAAATCGTTTGATTAAATTAAATCATTTACTGCTCTTCATTTTTTGTTAATCAAGAACCGACCTGTCATGCTTCCAATTCGGGTTTGGGGGGCAAGCTATTTGGATCCAATTTATGTCAATTGGGCCAGTCCACAAGTGATTCAATTATAAGCCCAAGGTCAAAGGTCCAATCCTCCAATCCATGCCGAGTCAAGTTAATAGCCCAGTCAACGTGCCTAGCCCATTTGGCTTATGACCATATCCCCAATTGTGCTAAGGCATAAAAGCCTTCACTTTTTCCACTCTGCATTCATTCAGAAATAGTCTAAAGAAATTAATACTCTTGCATAACATTTTCTCTGTCTACTCATTATAGATTTCGGCATCGGAGGGCTTGCTCAGCATAACCCTCGAAACCAGTTTACATGTGTTTGCTGTGCAGGAAATCCTCAGCCAATTCATGACTTGGACTGAGTCCAGTCTTCAGCCCATCAAAATGACTATGCCGAAGGTCCATCGAAATAAGACCTTTAAATTTTTTATAAAAATAATAGGTGCAGGTTGCATAATTAACCAATTTTTTTTTATTATGAATGATTATTGGTTATATCTTTAAGTAACTAATAAAAAGTGATTTTAATAGGACAAGTAATACAAAATTTATGTAAATGTTGATTTTGAATTGAGGTTAATGTTCATTCAGCTTTTTATAGAGTTTAAATTTGATCAATTCTTTATTTGGATTTGTATATATCTAATTAGTTTTAGTTTTGGGTTAATCGTAAATACGGAAATAATTTGATCTTTTTTCAAAGAATCAATTCTTAGATAGTACATTTAATTTGGTTTGAAAGTAAGATTAAGGAGATTGAGAAGAAGACGAGGAAGATTAAATGTATTGTTTACTTTGAAACAAAAGTAACATAATAGCAAAAGAGGGGAAAAGCTGCAAAGGAAGATAAAACAACAAAATCAACGGCAAATTATGTAAACAGATATTCTCAGGGATATAATAGGAAGAATAATGTTTTAAATTCATACAATCACACGTATTTCATATTAATAAAAATGATACAAGCCGATTTAATTTGATGGTAGAAATTATAATGTTCAAGTTGACATTTTTGGCTAGGTAATTATAAATATTAAGAAAAGCTACATTCTTATTTTTTTTTCTTTTTTTAAATTAAACCAATTAGTTAAATTTTTTCTGGGCGAAATTATTACATGACTTTAGTGTAAGTAGTTTTTCGTATTAAAGAACGAAGTTGATTTTTATTTTAAAAATAATCTTATGTAGTCCTTATTTGTAACAAGAATTGCATATTTAGATTTTCCAAACCCCAGTCAGCCCCTATTTTGGTCTTCCGTGCTAATTTGGTCCATGTGTCAGTCATTTTGGTTACCGTTCACATGTCTAGCCACACGATCATACCACGAGTCTTATAACATCACTTAATCACTCACGAGTCGAGTATAGTCCACACACTTTCTTTATGTCCCGACTCGAGTCGTGCACCATGTCGTTTATGATCGTATACTAGGTTCATGCACCTTTTTTCGTCATAATAAAAAAAAAAATGAATGGAGTTTATTCTCTCCTGCTTTCAAATGTCTATTTTTTCCCTTCCTTTCCTATCTTGAGCAATGAGTCAAACAATTAAGTGAATTGTTTTATTTCACAGTACTTGGTCAAGGAGTAGAGGTAGATTAATACGGTTTGAGTCATTACCGCAATAATCTCTTAAATCCAAGAGGCTTTCAAGAGAACTTCGCCATCTCCACCTTACTTATCACCTTTCAATGGCCACTAAGGAAGATATTGAAAATATCAACAAATCCATCGAGGCACTCTCTGCCATGATGGAAACCCTTACCACTAGGGTCACTACCATGGAACAAAACAAGGTCACTGTTTCTACCTTTGACAAATTAAAGGAACAAATGAGTAAGATTTCTGAGGATTTCACTTATGTGGAACAGCCTCCTACTCCTTTGGATGTGAAAGACAGGCTCCCTGAAAAGTTCTCCACTGCTGATATTCCAAAGTTCAAGCCTACTGAGAATCCAATATTCCATTTTGAAGGCGTTCTCTATAACCATGGCTCCTAAGGGATTGGACGTTACACTCTTCCCTATGGTGTTCCCTCTCTTCTTAGAACATACTTGCCAACAATGGCTTTATTCCCTAGATGCCAAGCGTATTGCAACTTGGCAAGATGTCACTGACAGTTTCATGAATCGTTACAAGTGTAACATTCAAAGTAAAACTTCTGAATGTGAACTCTCCATTCTCAAACAGAAAGAGAATGAAAGCTTCACTACTTATCAGAACAGGTGGAGGGAAACAACTTCACTCTTGGTAGATCCTTCCAAAGAAAGAGAGATAGTTCGTCTCTTTATTCAAAATCAGACTCACAAGTATAGGGAACATCTCAAATTTCTTCCACTGAACACTTTCGAAGTTGTATACGACATCAGCATCAATATCGAGGATGAGCTAATAAAGACTGCTGTTAGTAACAATAATAACATTTGGAAAAACAAGAAGAACGACCATCCTTCTTCTTCGTCTTCTAAGCACGAAAATACTACCAACAATATAAGCCAAGTTGATCTTAATGAAGTGTTAGCTCTTGATGCTCCATTGCCCAAGAAAAAAAGAACTTACACTCCTTTAGGAATGACTTATGATGCGGCCTTTGCTCGCCTTTACGGTCAAGGCTTGATCACACCTAATGGGCCATTACCAGAGCTAAAACCTGAAGAAATGAGCGCCAAATGGAATCTCAATGCCCATTGCAAGTATCATCAAGGAAGGGCCCACACTACCGAGCAATGTTGGAATTTCAAGGATGTCAATCAAGACTTGGTGGATGTAAACAAACTTCCTGTCCCTCCAGGCGGCAAGAAGTAATAAAGACCAAGCGCACAGCGATTTCATCATGCAAGATTTCATGATATTTTTTTTTTCTTAATCATTTTCCTTTTCCCCATTAATCTAGCATAGATTTCCCTTTCTGTTATTTGATCATTGTGTTTGTTGATTCACAATTTCCATTAATAAAATGAGCATATTTCCCTTACATCTCGATCATAGAATTTTTCATTCACTCATTCAAAAAAAAAAAAAAAAAAAATTAATTGCCGAATCGAGCACAAGGTATACCAATGATTTGAGGTACCCTTGCAACCCATTCATTCCCTATTAACCACTCAATTACATATCCATTTCTTCATGAACCACTTTGAGCCTCGTCTAACGATTGACCTTATTTATTCAACCCACATTCACTTAACCTTGGGATCGAAAGGTATGCAATTTGTGTAACATTCATAAAGCAAGTTCAGAAAAAAAAATGTCTAAAGGCAAGTGTTCCAATGTTTTCGATATGAACACGTCTCAAATTGCATCTCTCATTAAGTGCTTAGTATCGTGCCTGAGAAACATGAATGCTAAGTGAGTGATGGACCGCATGATATGAGATTGCCTACATTGATTCAAAAGAAAAAAAAAAAGAAAAAAAAAGAAATTCAAAACAAAAAAATACATGAAAAATAAAACTTGCGAAGTATAATACAAAATTGCATATCTTAGGGGCTTCTTATGGGTCTTGAGCCTTTTACCCCTTTCTTCCTTAAACCATCAGCTTAACCACATTACAACCCTTGAAAGAACTCTTTGAAGTGTACATACACTTGTGCAAAGTTTGGTTAGAGATACGTTCGGCCTGATTCCTAACGGATACGTAGGCAACCTCACATTGAGGTGCGTCCACATTCATATGCATGATCGAGTCGAAGGATATCCAATGATTACCCCTACCCATTTAGAGCTAGGCTTGGGGGCTTGAACCCACATCACATTAGGTTACTCAGCCTAAAGAGTCATCATCTTTGACTCTTCTCACATATATTTCCATCACCATAACCTTTGCAGCCAACCTTAGTACACTTTCACACACTTCTTGCACACATACATAACCAAATCATCTTTCCCTTAGGAACCATTTATCATGAAATCTTGTTTCCCTACCACGCATGCTTCATCATCTTTCTAGACAACATTCATTAGAAGAAACGTTGTATACTTGCTTAACTTCCTGATTTGAGCAATGTTCAATATTTCATGCATCGCATAATGTGCTGAGCAACATTTATATATCAATGATTTGCAATCATACAAAACATATCGTGCTTAGCTCCTTAACCTAAGCAACATTCATTATGCAATAAATACTTCATCTATATACGTGCTTAGCTTCTAGACCTAAGTGACTTTCAAGATTGCTTCTTTACACCATATACGATGCTTAGCTCCATGACCTAAGTTCATTCATCTATCGTGTCACATGATGTAATCGTCCTTAGCCTCTTGGATTAAGAACATGCATACTTTATTTTCAAGATAAGCAATTTGATTAGGGGATTTTTCCCCACCAATCACCATCTAACAAGTGGACCAATCAGGTTCCGCCATGTGTCCGTCACATGGGCCAATAGGAGCCTGCCACGTGTCAAGCAATGATCCGTCCACTATGGACCAATTACGACACGACACGTGTCCTTCCCATGACACCTGGGATAACCGGTCACCTAGGCCCAACTTCCGAGGGAAGCCCAATCAGCCCAAGGTTAACCTAAACCTAGATTGACACGTTTCCCGAGGTTATAAATACCTTCCTTAATCCTCATTAAGGGAGATAACACACAAAAAACGCAGATTACACACATTAAACACTCTCACCTAGAGAGACCCAATCACTTTAATTTCCGCATTAATAACTCCTTAATCAAGTACTAACTTGACCGTCGGAGGCGGATCTCCAATCATCCGGAGCATCCGTTTGTTTTGCAGGTACAGGCGTCCGGTTCCAGTCTCGGAATTGTAACTCTCCCGCAGGACATCAGAAAACCCCGAAACATTTGGCGCCGTCTGTGGGGAGAGTACTTCTGAGATGGCATCCACGTTTGTACCGACTCCTGAAGAGAGACGTCCCCTGGACGACCCTCTAGTTCAGTCGGACCACGATAGTGAGAATGAATTTGAAGTTGAAGCTCACACAGCTTCAGACGGGACCCTAAGGGCCCGACGTACCCGTCATACCGAAAGGAGGGAACAAGAACATCTTCAAACTGGAAGCGAGCCAGCAGGCGCACCGCCTGTTCGGCAGCAGCCGACTGATGGGTCTGCTCCCATCACAAGGAACGAACTCATGACCTTCATCAGGGACTTCAAGGAGAAATTCAAGAGTTGATCAACAAGAAGCCGCCTGCTCTGGACAAGGAGCAGTCGGCTAAGAAACCCTCCACTTCACGGAAGAGGAAACCAGTTCAAGGGCGAGAGGCGACCCCTCATCCTAAATCTAGGAAGTGGGAGCCACCTGCCCTTGATTTCACAAAATACCGTTTTCCTACTCCAGGAAATAGGAAACCTGTTCGTCATATTCAGGCGGACGGGTCGAGGAAAACATACACAGACGCTCGGCTACTGCTAGAGCAGAAGAAGAGTGACCGATTGTCAGAGTCGGCCTCTACTTCAAACTTCCAAGACAGTCTGCGAAATACCTCAATGAGGCATACTCAGTCGTATCATGAGAGTCAGTCAGGCGGCACCTCCCGTCAGTCCGGCTTTCATAGCGACCAGGCGGTACCAAACTTACCGTTTTTACCGCAACAACAGTATTTTTTACAGCCACCTCCGTTTGGTGGACATGCAGCAAAAAATGTCCAACCTATGGACTGGCAGCTACGGTTGCTTAGACTTGGTGAACAGCCGTCGGCCTTTTCCAAGGAAATTACTGAAGCCGCTCAGCCGGCCAAAGTGAAAAATGTATTAGTAGGCGCCTATGATGGCACTACTAACCCAGAAGACCATCTGATGGCATTCACCAACCTGATGTACCTTCAAGGGTTGGATGATCTCACTTGGTGCAAGTGTTTCCCAACGACTCTCAAAGGAATCGCACAACAATGGTTCGGCAACCTGCCGACTGGTTGTGTAAATAACTTCAAGACGCTTGCTTACTTATTCACCTCCAACTTCGCCATGAACATCCCTGCGAAGAAGACGACCCTTGATTTAGGAACAATTCAGCAGGGCGAAAAGGAGGGGCTTCGTTCTTACATCAGGCGGTTTAACCTGATGAGAATACAGATTCAAGGGTTACCGGATGAAGTAGCCTATACTGACTTTTTCAGAGGTCTCAAAGACGGGTCGACCTTCAAATTTGATTTGGTCCGAAAGAGGGTGGCGACTCTTCAAGAGGCCTTGATTGAAGCGGAAGCCTATATACAGGCGACTGATCTTTGTAGTACGGTAAAACAGTCAGACGGGAAAAGGTCCGACAAAAGAGAAGGACGACAGAAGCAGTCGTCAAACAAAGACGAGAAGAGAAAAGAGGTCTGGGCAACTGATTCCTCTAAACAGCCGTCCCAGAAGAAGAAAAAAGAATTC